AGATGCCCCTTCTAGGGGCTGGAGGTGGGGAATGAAGGGTCAGATAGAAGAGATGCGGTGGAATGAATAAGACCCATAAATGCTGGGACGTGGGGGGTGGGCAGAGGTAAGGGTCAAGGATGACATGATAGGTCATGGGCCTAGGTGACTGGAAGGATGATGGTGACCTCAACAGAAATAGGGAAGTTAAGGGGCAGCTAGGTGGCACAGTGGATAGAGCACTGGTCCTGAAGTCAGGAGGACCTGAGTTCAAATCTGACCTCAGACCACAGACTTGACACTTACTAGCTGTGTGACCCTGGACAAGTCACTTAACCCCAATTGCCTAAAAAAACCCAAAAAAGAAATAGGGAAGTTAAGAAGAGGATGGGTTCGAGGGGCAGATTGTAAGTTCTGTTCTGAACATGCTGAGTTTGAGAAGCCTATGGCATATCTTGTGAGGATGCCCAGCAAGTGGTTGAAGATATGTGCTCAAGAAAGGTGAGAGCTCAGGAAGCTAGGTGGTGCAGTGGATAGAGCACTGGCCCTGGATTCAGGAGGACCTGAGTTCAAATCCAGCCTCAAACACATAACACCTTACTAGCTGTGTGACCCTGGGCAAGTCACTTAACCCTATTGCCTAGCTTAAAAAAAAAAAAGATGAGAGCTGCATGAAGTAGATGAAGAATCAGAGCTCTAGAGCTGGAAATGACCTTGGAGGACACCAAATCCAACTCCCTTATTTTACAGAGAAGGATACTGAGGCCCAGGGAAGTAAAATGACTTGCCCAAGGTAAAATAGGCAGTAAACATCAAACAGGATTTGAACCCAGGTCCTCTGACTCCACATCCGATGTCTTCCCATTGTGCTACGTTTGATCCCATGGGAACCGACAAAATCACAGTGCAGAGAGAAAAGAGAAGAGGGCCCAGGACAGCGCTTGGGGCCGACCTGCGCATAGCAGTGAGACAGGAAGGATAAGCCTGCACAGAAGACCAAGAAGGGTTAATCCAGCAGAGAGGAGGCCAACCACAAGGAACAGGATGATTGACAGGGTCAAAAGCTGCAGAGAGCTCAAGAAGGCTAAGAATAGAGAAAAATGTGTCAGATTCAGCAATTAAGAGATTATTGGTAAGTAAAGATCAGCAAAAAGGAGAAATAACTGATGATGTGGCTTAGAAAATCTTAGAGAATCAGCAAGGAAACTGATTTGCTTCAGCAAATTGTGGGCTACAAAGATCAACAGTATTTCTGTATTATAATAATAACCAAATCCAGGAGGCAATAATACAAAATACAAATAATAACAAAATGCATAAAATATTTGGAAGTCAATCTACCAAAAACATATTTAATATTTGTCAGTTACAAAGTTCAATTATAAAATTCTCCTTAAAGAAATAAATACTGACCTAAAGAGCTGGAGGAATGTTCAGTGCTCATGGCTGGGCTGGGCCAATATAATAAATAATAACAATACTACCCAGGTTTATTTACATTTTAATGCCTGGCCAATCAAATTTTCAGGGAGATATTTTATAAAATTTGATAAAATAATATCAAAATTCATTTGAAAGAGCAAAATATCTACAAAACCAAACAAAAGATAAGAATGTAGAGGGAATAAGACTTCCAGACTTCAGACTACATTATAAAGCAGGAATCATCAAAACAATTTGGTACTGGTTAAAATACAGAAAAATAGACAAATGTTGCTAAAGAGACAAAAGTAAATGAATAATAGTGAGACTCAATCACTCTGCATCCAATAAACCCACAAAACATAAATTGCTAAGGAAAGAACTCCATATTTGCTAAAGAACTGTTAGGAAAACTAGAATGCTGTCTGGCAGAAATTAGGCTCAGAACTTATGCCATATTCCATTATAAATTAAAAATGGATCCATGATCTGAATATTAAAGATAACACTCTTAAAAAAATTAGAAGAGAAATAAATCATCCACTTATCACAACTCTGGAAAGGAGAAGAGTTCTTAACCAAACGAGGGATAGAGACAATTACAAAAAATGAAATGCATCACTTTGATTACATGAAACTGGAAAGTTTTGGGACAGACAACATTAATGTATCTAGGATAAGAAGCAAAGTGGTCTAATGGGAAAAGAAATCTTTGTATCAAATTTTTCCATAAATGTTTGGTTTCCAAGGTATATGTGTGTGTGTGTGTGTGTGTGTATACATACATGTGTATATAATATAACATCCATATAATATCCAAGGTATTTGTGCATGTGTATGTATGTGTGTATGCATAATGACTAATAGCCATTGTATATATATATTGTATTGTATGAAGCCATTCTTCAATGGATAAGTGGTCAAAAACCATGAACAAACAGTTCTCAAAAGAAGACTTGCAAACTATTCAGAACCATAGGAAAGAATTATCCAAATCACTAATGACAAAAGCAATTCAAATCAACACAACCCTAAGATTTCGCCTCCCATTCAGCAAGTTAGCAAAGATGACAAAAGATGAGAACGCTTGCTGGCAGATTCACAAAACCATTTGGATGCATTTAAAATGATTAAAATGTCGTCCCTTTTCACCCAAAGATTGCTTTGCTAGGCTAGGGGGTCATTGCCAAAAAGAAAGTTTCCACATACACCAAAATATTTGTAGCATCACCTTTGTAGTAGCAAAGAATTGGAGACCAAGTAGATGCCCATCGACTAGGGAAATGCTAAACAAATTTTGGTGCATGAATGTAATGGAATATTACTGGCGCTGTAAGAAATGACAAACATGATGGATGCAAAGAAGCCTGCAAGACATCAGCTGATGCAAAGTAAAGTAAGCAGAGCCAGGAAAACAGCATACACAAAGACCACAACAATGTGGCTGGAAAGAACAACATTCACCAAATAATTGAAACAAATGTTGCAAAATTACAAAGAATACAAGCTGGGCCCAAAAGAAGAGTGAGGAGAAAACAGCCCTCCCTGCTCATTTGAGAGTGGAACCACATATATAATGACAGATTTTTTTCAATTAATTGATAATTTTGCTGAATTTTTTCTCTTCTACTTTTTTTCTTTTTTTAAGCCCAATATTCCATAAACCAGAAAACATAAATTACTAAGAACTCTATATTTGATATGAACTAGACTGTAGCCTGGCAAAAATATCTTTGTTATAAAAGCTGACTCTCTAGGAGGGGGAGAGAGGGAGGGATCCAGGAGAAACTCTAGGTGATGGAAAAACAAAAGATATCAATAAAAATCCATTTTTAAAAAGAGATCACCTTGCATAGAGCACTTTCAGACAAGGGGTGGGGTTAGAAACCAGACTGCAAGGAGTGAAGAAGCAAATGAGAAGTGAGAGGCAGCAGGATGCACAGTAGGGGCAGGACACTAGGCTTAGAGTGAGCGTGATCTGGGTTCAAATTCTGCCTCAGACAGTTCCTAGCAGTGTGACCCTGCACCGGAGGTTAGACTCCATGGCCTCTAAAGCCCCTTCAATTCTTAGAGGACGAGCCTATAAATAAGTGTAGATAGCAGGCGCAGATGGCTTTTTCTAGGAGTTTGTGAAAGGGAGAAGAGGTACAGGGTGTTAACTTGAGGGTATGGTAGGGCCAGGTGAAGGTATTTTTGGCTGTTGGCTTGTTTGAATTTTTTTTTAACCGATGGGAGAGATCTGGTGATTCTGAAGAAGAGGTTGAAAATTAGGCAAAGAGAAGGAAATAATGGAAAGGACTAGCTCCTGGAGGAGATGTGAGGAAATGGGATCAAGGAAACAAAAGGGGGAAGGAGGCGGAAGAGAGAAGCATTTATCAAGTGGCAGCTATGAACTGCACTAAGCTTTTAAAATGCTATGTCATTTGGTACCCAAGACAACCCCGGGAAGTAGGTGGATCATTATCTCCATTCTACAATTGAGGAAACTGAGGCAAACAGAGGTTAAGTGACTCGCCCAGGATCACACAGCTAACAAGTTCAGAAACTAGATTTGAATTCAGGTCTTTCTAACTCCAGATCCAGGGATCTATCTATTGTGCTTAAAATAGAGGGGTTCATTTTGGCAAGAATGGGCACCAGACCCTCTGAGACTGGAGCAAAGGAAGAAAGAGTGGGATATAATGCTGAGATGATTTGAATTATAGAATCAGGGAGGAATTAATCAATCAATCAAATAATTGTAAGAGCATTTGCCCAGTGTGTGCAAAGCCCTGTGCTAAGTACTGGGGGGTACAAATAGAAAAAATGTGGCATCCCCTGCTCTCAAGGAGCTCACATTATGATGTGTCTAATTGGTTTAAGATGAAAAGGCCCAGTGGTCCCTAAGAAGACCAGGGGCCAAGCAGATGGTAACACATCTGCCTCAATGCCCTTTCAATGAACCAATACCATATCCATTTCTGATACCAAGGGCTTTGGTGGAAAGAGCCTTCTCTTCCTTTGGGAACAGTGGCTCTGTGGCCAGTGTCTTAGCTAGCTATCTGTCCCAGCCTTGGGTCATCTTCAAATGCAAAAAGCCTGCTCTCTATGGCTGTTGTTGTTTATCCTCCGTTCTCAGAGAGGACCATGGCATCAGGAAGATGATGCCATGACTTGCAAGTGAACTGGATTTAAGTGAGGGAGGGCCGTACAAGGTCACCAGCCTCACTTTATCCTCCAGAGCCATTTGGGTGCAGCGGCCAGACATGGATCAGGATGACTGGAGATGCCCCCCTATCTATGGCATTATCCAAGTTATTGATAAAAATGGGAGGCAGCACCCCAATACCCCAGGGTACTCCTCTAGAGACCTCTTGCCACATTGACATTGATCTGTCCAGTCATTTAGTGAGCTCTGAACCCATGTGGTCCAGATCTCTTCATCCTTTCATTTTTTTAAGTCCCTATCTCCCTCACTGTAGAAGGACACACAAGTGACCCCACTCCTGCTGCTGATCTGTATGGGTGCTTTGAACTGCTCCTTTTCTGACCTGGGATGGTTTGCCCCACCTTCCACCCCTTAAGCAACCTGGCACCCTCACTGACCCCCCAGGGCTTACCATATTAATGCCAAACGTAGTTGAGACAGCTGAGCAGCACAGCCCCCTGCAGCTCGGAACTCCCTGGCTCTAGCCTTTCCAGTAGCAGGAATTACTGCACACACCACCACTGTGCCCCACTGCCTCATCCTTCCTGCAAGGAAAGCGTGAAATACTTCATCAAACATTTTGCTAAAATCTAGGCAAACCATATCTATGTGATTCCCCTGATCTAGCAGGTTAGTAACCTTGTCAAAAAAGGAAATAAGATTTAGTGTGGCACGCCCAGTTCTTGATGAAGCCAAGCTGGATCTTTGTTATCACCACATCTTTTTTCCAGAGTAAAGGGGGTGTGGTATGTGTGCAGACCCGTCGACTTGCTTAGCTGTTATCACCCATCTTCCTGGAGAGGCTGGGAGCCTATTGACCTGGAAGTCAGAAGGATATGTAAAGAAAGAGCTATGGAGAGATCGTGAAGAATGAGTGAAGAATCACCCTTTCCAATTGGCTGCGGAGTCCATGGGAGCTCTGGGAGCTTAGCAGGCCGTAATCCCCTCAAGGTCTACAGCACCCTGAGGAGTTGGGGTGTCTCTTCCTCCACTGCCACTGGCTAACGCCTCCACCAGCCATGTCCCCCTCACCTTTGTTAGGGGACTGTGACTAGCACCCCGGTTCCATTTAACCACTTACAAATGGATATTGAGATCAAGAACAAATCTACAAACATTTCCCTCCAGCACCCCCCTCCTTCCTGGGTCTCAGGGCCAGCAGGCTTAAAACTTATCTCAGCTCCTACATAGATAGCATCTCACTAAGTTCACACCTAAAGTCAGTATTACTACAGGATGAGTCTGGCCTGAGTCAGGAATGAGGTCCCAAAGGTCACTCCAGAAAGCCTTGGAGCACCAATGATGAACCCACTGCAGAACGTGGCCTGGATTCCAGCTCGCAATTTTCTGCAGCTCTGGGCTCCTCTCCCTGAACCTAGAATGGAAATCAACAAAGGTCAAGGATGAAGACCCATTTCTTGGAGCCAAATAGCCTCAGAGGGAGAAGAAAGCCCTAGAGCTTTCTGCCTCACCACATGCCCTCTCACTACATGCTTTGAAAAGAGTCATCAAAGTCCCTTAGATGTGAATGGAGCAAAGGGATGGCCAAAAAGTGACCCAGGTCTCCTTGAAGATGCCAACAGTTCCAGCTATGTGGCCAATCCAAAAATACCTTTCCCCCCTGAAAACTGGTCCCAGATATTTCTCTATGGCTCCCTGAAAAGTCTATTTCTCTTCCTTCCGTCCCCCATCCCAAGCCCCAGAATAAGTTACAGATATTTCAGCGTGCTCTCCTAGACACTCAGCAGGAAAGCCCTGGGTTAGTTCCAAACCCAGCTTGTGCTGAAGAGTTCCATCCTCTTAGGTCCCTGTTATCTTGAATCTCTGCACCACAAATCTAAACTGGTCACTTCTCCAACCAAGGTCTTCCTTCTCCCTGATCTCTTCTAAGTAATTACCACTCACCTGGGTCTCATACTTTTGTCTTCAGTTTAATGGGGATTACAAGTCACTTCAGTTTCTCTGGTACCTCCATTTTCTCATATGTAGAGTGAGGGGGTTGGAATAGATGCTCCCTACAATCTGTCCCGGCTCTTACACTTTCTCATTACAAAGGAAGAAAAACAATTGATAGTTGATCTGCTTTAGGAACAAGTGGCCATCGCTTCACCAAGAGGAAACAAAGGCAGAAAAGCTATCAACACCGTTAGATTCGTCAAAGGTGACTAATGGTGATTTTGCCTCTAAATGGAGCCGTGAAATAGTCAAGATCCAAGAACAGAATCAGAAGACCCTCCGTGGGCAAGATCTCCACAAACTCAGCGAGCAAAATATGTCCTTCAGGAAGCTAGCGCCTGAGTCGTGTGGATTCGTTTGTAGAAATGGAGGGGTTTATGACCACAATTTAGAGCCAAGACATGGCCACCAGAAAGAGGCAGACTTACTGATCAATGCAGATTAAGCAAGGAAATAGCAGAAACTGTATGACATGTCACTGTAGGCTGCAAAAAAAAAAATTAGTACGTGCTGAGACAACCTGTTGGCTGAGGTTATACATCTGAAGCTTGCTCTCCTTCATATTCTAACAGATGACAAATCTCTATACTATTTTTTTTTAAAAACTTCAAAATATTCTCAAGAATTCAACAAATAAGCCATACTGGAACCAAGCCATTGTCAGTCAGTAACTCAATAAATATTTAGTAAGTACTTACTATGTACCAGGGACTGTGCTAAGGTATTCGGGTTATGAAAAGAGGCAAAAGACAGTCCCCTCCCTCAAGGAGCTTACCATTTAAGAGAGAGATGATATGCAAGCACCTATTTACAAACAAGCCATAGAGGGGAGAAATTGGAAATAATCAACAAAGGAAAGGCATTAGCATTAAGAGGGTTTGAGAAAGATCACAAAGAAAATTGTTTCTTATGATGCCCTGGCCATAACATTGCTCTCTCAAAATACAAGAATATCTTTTTTACTTAATGTCACCATACTCAGAATCTCCAAGCTATGTGGAAGAAGAAGCTTTCAACATGTAGAGACCCAGCAGAAAGAATGAAAGCCGTATGGGATCAGGATAGGGTACGTGTCAACCACATCCTCTTTTCTGCTACAAAAAGAGCCCCCAAGATGCTTTCAGTAAGTCTACAAAAGATGACCTGACATCCCAATGCATTAATTCAATTGCAAAAAAAAGCAGTTCTTTTATCCGTCTGTGCATTAGTCCACAAAACATTAACCATAAACTAAAAGCGGGATGACAACTCATCCTTGAACTATTTCTATCTCAACTGCATAGGAAAGGATAAGAACAAAATGAATAACAATATCAATAATTATAATAGTTCTCCTTTCTAGAAACCGTTAAGATTTCAAAAAAGTGTTTCTCCTCACAACTCTGTCTGCAGAATTCTGAAAGCAGAAATACTACCATGAACCTCCATTATACAAAGGAGGAATTGTAGTGACTTTAAGATCCCACAGCAGGGACTGCCAGGTGGTACAGTGGGTAGAGCCCCAGGCATGAATCAAGAAGACCTAGGTTCAAATCTGGACTCAGATTTGACTTCATCTCTGTTTACTTAAGCTTCCTTATCTATAAAATGGGGACAATAACAGCCCCTACCTCCCAGGGTTACTGTGATGGGCAAATGAAATAATAATCATAAAGAACTCAGCACCGTGCCTGGCACATCACGAGTGCTATACAAATGTTACTTATTATCATCATTATTTTTATTTGCAGAGCCAGGATTTTCTCTTGTAACTATTTGACTCTAATAAAAGCTCCAAATTCTACAGCACACTAAGGTTTACAATGCTTTCTTTTCAAAAATCCTGTCAGTTGGAGAATTCCATTATCCTTAGACCCATTTCTCAGATGAAGAAACTGCCAGTGAACAGGTGTTATTGTTCAGTCATGCCCGACTCTTTGTGACTTCATTTGGGGTTTTCTTGGAAAAGATTACTGGAGTGGTTTGCCATTTCCCTTTTCCAGCTCATTTTACAGATGAGGAAACTGAGGTAAACAGCATTAAGTGTCTTTCTCAGGGTCACGCAGCTAGTAAGTGTCGGAGGCCAGATTTGAACTCAGGAAGAGGAATCTTCTTGACTCTAGACCCAAAGCTGTATTCACTGGGGAGCTCTAGCTGTCCTTGTGAGCAGATAGAAGCACAGAAAATATAAAGGGGAAATTCTGGCAAAGAAGCTTATAGATATTGGTGAGGGGATTTTCCTGCAAGACCCCACCCTCATAATATTCTATGCCCTATGGCTCCTAGAGGCCATAGGCGACTGAGCCCAGGCCAGATCTCCCTTCTGTGACCCCTCTTGCCTGCCTCCTAAATACCACTGACTGCATCTCGATGGGCCAGCAGACAAGCCCAAATTGTCCTCATTTCCATGTGCTAGATTTAGGGAGCCCCACTATAGGAGAAAGATTGGTGCTTCGCTCAGGGCTATGGCTGCAGCTGCTGCCTTCTGGCCCCCACAGCTCAACCGCCCCGGACTTCCTGGGAAGGGGAAAGAAACACAAACATGGCAGCCTTCACTGCCACATGCTAATTGTTCTTGTCAGTGGGGCCTGCCTTAAATGAACTTCTCTGTTCTAGTCAGTCACATCACCTGCACATGGCTGGAGGGAGACAGCAGGGCAGGACAGATGTTCATTAACAGAAAACTCCAGCATAGCCATCCCACTCATGCTAGAGATGAAGTCACCTTCAGCTCAGTCGGCATTCAAAGCTAGACATCACACTGGCCCATGAGCACTGGCTGAAGCCGTCACCAGATCTCTGCGCGGCCGAATTACTATGGTTCTGCTGAAGGCTGTCATGACACTCAGCTGATCTTTTCAAACATTATGATTTACCCTTTGGGTCAACCTGCCCTCATCAAATACCTTTATTATGACAACTCCAGTTGATAAAGCCCCAGCAGAGATCTGGGGCCAACCAAACAGGGCCCAGAGGTAGAATAAAGGTCTGAGTGGAATCCCTATTCCCCCAATAGCCAAATGGAATCCTCGAATGTGACAAGATGGCAGCCACAGAATGGAAGAATCCTGCCAACCAGATTGAGTCCACCTGAACGTTCCAGAGTCTATGAGTCTATGATTATTTCCATGGAAGATCAAACAAAGCCAGCCCACCGGAGATCTTTCCATCAGAGCCTACAATGTTTAAAGTGCCTTTCCCTGTGCTTGCCAGGGTCGGGCAGCCTTCAGAGGTCCTATCAGACAAATCCAAGAGAGGTCTTTCTGTATTTTGCATTTGCATTTTAACCATCCCCCAATGCCTGCTCAAAGCAGAATGGGAGGAGGTAGTTTGAAGGTCTCTAAAATCTGAATTTATTCTAAGCAATTGAGCTTGGAAATGGTTGCTCTAATCCGTGGGGAAGATGCCATAATGTACATTTTAATAATGCCCTCAATATTCCTGCTCAGAAGACGGCTTTATGCTCTCTTCTGCTCAGCTGTGGCAGTCATGGTTGAACCCCAGAGAGCTGGCAGAGCAGAGGGCCAGTGTGGAGAAAAGCCGCAATCCTAACTCCCCCTCAGGATGAGAGGATCATAAATCTGGGCTAGGAGCTGCCTCCCCGACCATGGCCAGGTCTCCCAAACTCCCTAAGCTTCGGTTTCCTTCCTTCTCCCACAATGGGACCGTTGAGCTCGGTGGACTCTGAGGTCCCTTCTTATCCTGATCTGAGCTCATGAGCCTGCCCTTCTTTGCACCTGGACCAGCATCCTCTTGACCAACCTGGATCTATCTCCAAATCCCATTCCCCCTTCCCAAAGAGAGTTATCCACTCAGTTCTGTAGCTCCCCCTGATGGGGAGTGAGGGAATGTGAGAGGGTGGGCACCCTATAACCAGCCAGCCACAGCCCGTTTCCCATCCCGCCTGTTCATCCACCTCTGGCATCTTGCCATATGTCCTGACTCCACTTTGCCTGGCAACAGTTATCCAAACCAATACCGCCATTGCTTCTAGAAAGGGTGTGTCGACTACCCTTTGGCTATACTAACCATACCCATAACTGACCGAACCAAAACTCCCTTCCCTGGACACCACTCCCCACACGTGTTTGTCTGTTAGATCGGAAGTTCCTTGTGGGCAGAGACTTTCTCTTTCTTCCATAATTCACTACAATTCCTGGCATATAGGAAGCCTTAATAAATACTTTTTCTTTCATTCATTCCTGTATTCATCCATTTACACTCTAGTAAGAATTAGTAAATGGGTCTTTCTCTTGGCAGGACCGTAAGGGGAGGCAAACTTGATTGGCTAGTTTTGGGGTAAGAGGTAGGCCCAGAGAGCAGAAATTTCTGTCCAAGCTGGACAAGCCTGGGTAGAGATTTACAGGGATGGGTCAATATGAGCTCATGGAGCACTTGGGTATGTTTGGGGTAGAGGTGACTACAGATATCAATGCAAACGAGCCAATGTCAGCACATTTTGCCTTCTGTTTATGCTAGGAACTGCCTGGTGTTTGGGGGGACTGTGGGGATTAGTTTCCCAATGCCAGGGAAGCCCTGCCAGCATAGGGAAAAGAGCTCTGACCTCCTTGGGAGAATTGGTACTGCACCAAGCCCTGGGCCTTTTGGAGGCGCAGCATGAAAGCTCAGGCCAGCCAGCTGGCTCAGTAAGGAAACAGGGAAATCATGGCTCCCTGCCAAGCCCAATGCCATAGAGCCCCAAGAGATGTGGGTAGACTACTGGATTCTATCTGCTATATGGATGCATCTAGGCTTGGAATCAGGAAGACCTGAGTTCAAATCCAACCTCAGACACTTACTAGCTGTGTGACCTTACAGAAGTCACTTGAGCTATGTCTGCCTTGGTTTACTCAACTGTAAAATTGGGATAATGACAGAGTTGTTTCGAGGATCAAATGAGATGTTTGTAAAGCATTTAGCCCAGTCCCTGGCACATAATAGGTGCCTAATAAATGCTTATTGCCAGTCCCCTTCTCCAGCTCTGCCCAGAGGACAGAATCCCAAAGGATCTCAGAGCTTAATGAAAGCCCAGAGGCCAAGCAGTGCTGGGACAATACTGCCCTCTACAGAACCAGCATTGGTCAACCAGCCTCTACTAAAAGACCTCCAATGTAGGGAAAGTCACTAACGTAGAGTGGTGGCACGCGTCAAGGAGTCTCAAAACCATTGCTCACGAGGAATGACTTGCAGAAACTAGGAACAAATATGGTGGTGGCCTTCAAGTATCTGAAGATCCTTTCCTGAAAAGAGGGATTAGCTCTCTCTACTTGCCCCAAGAGAACAAAATGAAAAGCTATTATGTGTGCATTGGGGAGGGGACAGAAGGAGAGGCTGTGGAGACTTTCACTTCCACAGAGGAAAACACGCCCAAAACTTAGAGCTATACCATGACATGGGCTGCCTTAGGAAGTAGTAAGGTCCCTGTCGCTGCAGGTATTCAAGAGGGTGCCATTGTTGTGAATATTGTTAAGGAATGGACTGTTGTAGTTGTTTACAGTCTCTGGGAGGGGGCCCAGGAGAGAGGGAGGGACAGAATTTGGAACTCAAAACTTTAAAAAAAAAAAAAAGCTGAAATTGTTTTTTACATGTAAAGAAAAAATAAAATGTTTTTTTTAAAAAAGATAGAAAGGCTGTAAGTGACCTCTATGAATCTAGGATTCTATGATTCCATGAAGGAGGCTGGCATCAGAGGCAGATTTCAAAGTCACCTCCCGATAATGATTGTTTGGAAGCCTTGATTTGAGTTGGATTTCAAACAGTTTAATGTCTTAATTAAACTTTCTCCCTCTACTTCACTTAATTTGAAAAGTATTAAATGTGGTTATTAATCATGAGTAATTATTATCTAATATTATATTAATTGTGTGGTTATTGGGATTGTGCATACATTAATCACCAAGGTTTCAGCTTTTTAATTGTTAATAATATTTCCTAAATGAGTTAAGTCTTAATTCTCCTCTAATCTATCTCTGTCTTGGGGATGTGGGGTGGGTGATCTAGGAAAGGAAAGGCCCATAGGACCCTGCACAGGGGTGTCCTTTGAATACTTTCCAGAAGGAGGGGCAGTGAGGAGTTTGTATTTCCTTGTCACCAAACAGCTTGGTGCAGCGGATAGAATTCCAGACCTGGAGGCAGGAAGATCTGAGTTCAAATCCAGCCTCGGACACTTACTACCTGTGTGATCTTGGGAGAGTCACTGAACCTCTGTCTGCCTCAGCTTCTTTATCTGTAAAATGGGGATAATAACAGCACCTACCTCCCAATGTTATTGTAAGGATCAAACGAAATAGAAATTGTAAATCCCTTATTACAGTACCTAGCACGTAGTAAACATTATTGTTGTCGTCCAGTCATTTCAGCCGTGTCTGACTCTCCATGACCCCATTTTAGGGTTTTCTTGGCATTTCCTTCTCCAGCTCATTTTGCATACAGGGAAATTCAGGCAAATAGGTTATGTGACTTGCCCAGGGTCACCCAGCTAGGAAGTGTCTGAGGCCAGATTTGAACTCAGGTCCAGCACTCTATCCACGGCACCACTCAGCTGCCCCATACAAATGTAAGCTATTATTGTTGTGTGTGTCATCACCAAGTACGGATTTCACTGAAGTCTAGTTGAGGTTGTCACAATACCTGGCCTTGAAAGACCTTGTTCTGTCTGAAGATGTGAAGAGTTCTGAGAGTCTGAGAGCTAGAGAATGATGCGCTCTGAGGGAGGAACCAGGCAGACCCATCTCTAATGCAGGGCCCCAAACCCAGCCCTTGTGTTAATGAGGACCTGCCTTGCAAATAGTGTGACCTGAGAGTGAGAGGATACCTGAGAGGCTGAGTGATACGCTGGGAAAATCACTGACTGTGGCACCAGAGGACCTGTGCCTCCCTGACCTTGATTCTACCTGTCTGGGACTCCACACAATAAAGACATTGGACAGGTCTATATCTGGGCTTCTGTGACCTCAGCACATCAAAGATCCATGATTCCCTCCACATCAGAGCCAATTGGGTTCTGCCAGCAGATTGCAGCTTGCCCTACTGTGCACCCTCTGGGCTGGAATGGAGGAAGAGCTCAGTTTTCCATGGCTGAAATAATGTCATTCCGTGATCAGTCATCCTGCCTGCTCTCATCCAGGCTGGCCCTTGGACCACAGACGCCCAGGCTGTCACCAGGACCATCCTGGAGGCTTTTCCTGATGGGGAGGAGCTATCAGAGCTGGAAATCTGCCACCAGAGCCAGAAAGACTCGGAGAATGTTAGCGCTGGGCAGGACCTCGAAGGCCATGGAGTGGGATCACCTCGTTTTACAGAGGAGGAAACTGAGGCCAAGATGGGGGAAGGGGTGGGACTTGCCCAGGCTCACACAGCTGCCATTTAGTCCCACCTGCTCATTTTACAGATGAGGAAACTGAGGCTGGAAGAGGGGGAATGGTTTGCCCAATAACACACAAGTGGTAGGAACTGGGATTTGAGCCCAGACCACCTAACTCCAAAGCCATCCTTCTCTGCACTGCCCCATCCTGCCTCCATCTGTCCGATCCTATACTCCCATCTGTACTGCTGGTAGAAAAGGGAAGGACTCTGTCTCTGAAGTCAGACGACCTGAGTTCAAATTCCACTTTATCTCTGGGGACCTCAGTTTCCTCATCTCTAAAATGAAGGAAGGGGTCCGGCCAGTTGATCCCCAGGGATCCTTCCACTCTGTGTCAATAAGCCGCTGCCACTAGGAAATCTGGGCAGAGAACATGCAGCTGAGGGGATGGCATCTGAGACAGGGAAGGGGAAGCCGGGTCCCTGACCCCTCCCCCAGACAAAGGCCCCCCAGAAAGGAGGGGGCTTCTCAGCTCCAGAGGTAGGAAGCCCCGGCCCTCCCTCCCTTCCTCAGCATGACGCCCATTCTGTTATCTCTGCGGGGATTTTCCTCTAAGCCCTGGATTTATTATCACACAAATGAAATTACCCGGAGGATATATCCAGCTCTGACTTTCCACCTTGTTCCTCTTTTTCTCAAAATGAGCAACTGAATGGAGCTGGGTAATGGTCGTGGCACCGTCTGAGCAGGACCGTGGAGGCAGTCGGCTGACGCAGTCTTGGTGCTGGTTTCAGGAGGGACTGTAGGCGCGATTTACCCACTGCCTCCAGCCGATCGGGGAGAAAGCAGGAGGGGACGGGGTCGGTCCACGTTCACAAAGCTGGAGTTCTGGACTCCAGCTCAGGGCTCCTAACTACGGGTAAAATGACTTTCCTTTTCCGTCTGTTTGTCTTTCCCTGTCTTTTCCACCTTCACAACATCACCCATTTACACGTTTAGCCGTCTTGTCTGGACGCATTGTTCTCACATTTTCTCTCCCCACCCCCTCCCCAATAGACTGTGAGCTCCTCCAGAGCAGGGAAGAGTTTTGCCTTTCCTTGTGTCCCCAGTGGTTAGCATAGTGCCCGGCACGCAGTAGGCACTTAATAGATGCCTGTCGGCTGACTGAACGACTATGTCTCCACGCGGCAGCTGTGAATTCCTCCTTTTCTCATTCTCCCACAACTGGGATTCCCCAAGTTGCTAGGCTCCCAGACATGAATTTAAACAGCCACCGGACTGGCTCAGTGTGTCTGTCTCTGTCTCTCTCTGTCTCTCTCTGTCTCTCTCTGTCTCTCTGTCTCTCTGTCTCTGTCTCTCTCTCTCTCTCTCTCTCTCTCTCTCTCTCTCTGTCTCTCTCTCTCTCTCTCTGTCTCTCTCTCTGTCTCTCTCTCTCTCTGTCTCTCTCTCTCTCTCTCTCTCTCTGTCTCTCTCTCTGTCTCTCTCTGTCTCTCTCTGTCTCTCTCTGTCTCTCTCTCTCTCTCCCTCTCTCTCTCTCTCTCTCCTCTCTCTCTCTCTCTCTCTCTCTCTCTCTCTCTCTCTCTGTCTCTCTCTGTCTCTCTCTGTCTCTCTCTCTGTCTCTCTCTCTGTCTCTCTCTGTCTCTCTCTCTCCCTCTCTCTCTCTCCTCTCTGTCTCTCTCTGTCTCTCTCTGTCTCTCTCTCTGTCTCTCTCTCTGTCTCTCTCTGTCTCTCTCTGTCTCTCTCTCTCTCTCCCTCTCTCTCTGTCTCTCTCTCTGTCTCTCTCTCTCTCTCTCTCTCTCTCTCTCTCTCTCTCTCTCTGTCTCTCTCTCTCTGCCTCTTTCTCTCCCCTACCACACCCTTCTGAGCATGGATGGTGATATAATAAGAAACATCACTTCAAATATCATCTGAGCAGTTATGACCAGAGCAGGATCACCACCTTGATGACATGGTAAAGCAGCTGAGTAGCTAGGTGGGTCAGTAGATAAAGTATTGTGCCTACAGTCAGGAAGATCTGAGTCCAAATGCAGCCTCAGACACTTATTAGCTGTATGACACTAGGTGAGTCACTAAACCTCTGTTTACCTAAGTTTCCCCAATTGTAAAATGGGGATAATAATCCCACCTACTCCCCACAGTTGCTGTGAGAGTCCATTGAAACATTAGTAAAGCATGGCACAAAGCAGGCACTATAAAAATGCTTATTTCCTTTCCTAAGATCCTTCTAGCTTTTTGCCTACTGTATCATGCTTTGGCCTCATGGTGAGCTTATAATCACTAAGACCTCCAGGCTCTTTTCATAAGAATTACTTTCTAGCCACACCTTACTCAGTTTGTATTCGGGATGCTGACTTCTTGAACCCAAGTGTGAGACTTCACATTTTCCCTTATTGAATTTCATCTTTTGGAAGTCAGTCCTAGGCAGTGGTAGCTTAGTGAGATCTTTTTGGACCCTGACCGCCACTCAGTACATCCACGATCCCTCCCGGTGTGGGGATCGCCAGTGGATGTTAGACACATGTGTCCTGTGCCTACATTACAGAATCTTAGAGGCGCTGAGCCTCAGCAGGCATCCAACCCAGCCCGTTCCTGCACAGGGATCTCTTTCTACAACATACCTGAAAAACGGACCTCCAGCCTCTGCTTAAAGACTCCATCAAAAGGATCCTCCTGCCTGAGACGGCCTGCTCTTTTCTGTCTTCCAGCCTAAATTTGTCCCTGTTTACAGCTCCAGACAGAACAAGTGTATTCCCTCTTCCACATGCAACCCTTCAGACACTTGGAGACAGCTCTCCCATCAGCCCCCTCCCCACATCTTCTCTTCTTCAATCTAAACGTGCCCTTCAGCAAGGATCACAGCCTTTCGCCATCCTGATAGCTCTCCTCTGGACACTGGACCTTCACCAGCTTCCCAGAGGACTCACAACCGTGCTCTCCAGAACTGAAGGAAACACTCCAGGTGCTGCCTGACCTGGACAGAGGATGGTGGGGACCACGACCTAGAAGACAACCCTGCTGCCTAATGCAGCCACAGGTCCAATTGCATGAGCCTCCCTGGGGGCCACATCACAATGCTGACATCTATTGAGCTCTCAGTCATTGCTAAAAATGTGAAATCAATCAGTCAAAAACACATCTCTGTCAATGGCTTGAATTATATTAATGACTAGGCACTTGCCTCACAACTGGCTTAGGCAGGAGAGTAAAAGGATTACATCCCCATTCTATAGATCAAGAAACTGAGGCTTGGCATGGGAAGTGGTCAAGGTCAAACAAGCCAGAACCCGACCCAGCATTCTTTCTGCAACCTCATCTGCTGGAGATACTCTGCCCTGACAGGTTGCTCTGAGGTCTTACTCTAGGGGCCAAGTTTCCCATGCTGCTCCTGAGAAAGGGGTGAGGAGGGGGCCAGAGAAAACAAACAGGGCCTGTCCCTGGGCCCGAGAGGAGATCCAAACTGGGTCCAGGCCCCTGAGCTACATGGGGAGGTCAGCGGTCATCGGTCCCCTCTTCCTCTCCTCCCCTTCCTGCCTCCCCCCACATGCATGCATGTACACATATGCAGATACATGCACACAGAGACACCTAATAACACACATGCACACAGATACTTGCACATGCACACTCATAATACACATATACACTCATCCACATGCACACATATACACACATACTCATACATGCACGTATATTTTATGCATTCATACACACAGATACATGCATGTACACACTCATGATACACACACACTCATACATGTGCACACATATACACACTCATGCATGCACATATATTTTGTGCATTCACTTACACGCACTCACAATACACACATATATACACACATATGCACACAGATACATGTGCATACACACTCATAATACACATACACACTCATACATGCACATGTTTTATGCATTCACACACTCACAATACACACACATATACACACATACACACGCTCACACATATACATATACACACACTTACAGACACTTTCACTCACTCACACAGACACACTCCCACGCAGACAGCATGGACAGCTCAAGAGCATGAGACCTGGAGAGAGGCCTGAGTCTCCATCTGGCCTCTGCCTTACAAAGCCGTGTGACCTTGGTCCCTGTGCCTCTCTGGACCTCAGGCCCCTCTCTCAAACTAACCACACTAAACTCCCAATGTCATGCTGCTCTGCATGAAGAGGGCTGTAGCCTCCAGAAACGGAGAAAGGCTCGTTCCTGTGTCCTCTGCCCTGGCAGACCCCACTGGCTGCACATCTGTGTCCAGATTTAGTCTTCAGTGTAACATTTAAGAAAGGACCCAGATACACTCCAGAGGAGGAGAGCCAGGATGAGGACCAGGCCGAGGAGCTGGACACGCCCAGCCTGGAGAAAAGAGGACTTCGGAAAGCTGAAGGACTCTGTTCAAGTGTGTGACTGGCTCTCGTCGGGCCTGGGTCTGCTTGGCCCCCGAGGACAGAACCCCAAGCAGCCGGCAAGGGCAGATTTCCTGGAGCACAGTGGGTGCTTGCTCGTTTCCAGCATTCTGCTTCCCTGGCACAAGGCAAAGACAGGGATGGGGACTGGACCTGTGATGTCATTGGTGTAGAGAACTTCCAGCTGAGGAGAGGCAGATCAGTACCTTCTCTGAAACTTAGGAGTCTAAGGAAATTCCAGAGGCGAAACTTGATCCCAGGGCTTCTTGGCTCTGAGGGCAGGTGTCTCTCCGCTACACCACTGACTAGATGCTTAGTAAGTGGTCATTAACTGATTAAGCTTGCTGTCAGGAAAACCCTTCCTAACAATGACAGCTGTCCCAAAGTCTAATGGAAGGGGCTGCCTCTAGAGAGGGTGAGTTGCTCAACCTTGGAGGTCTTTGAGCAGAGGTGGGATGACACACTGGGGGCCCAGGTTGGACAAGAGGGTCTGCACTCCTTTCCAATGCTGAGATCCAGTGACAGATGACCCCTCTGGGCCCAGCCAGCTCACAATCCTCTGATCCTGCCCTCCCGGGGCCTACTAACCCATTGCCAGTTCACAATTGTACCAATTTCCCATCAGATCTGGACAGTTTTCCTGGCCCCCCGCCTGGTGAAATAGTACCTGAGTTTCCACGACTGGGGCTCAAAGGAGGGACCTGGCGCTTCTCTGCCTGAAGAGAAAAATTGGAGGCTGCCAGCAACAGGGATGATCTGATTTTTTCAGTGAGACTCCTTGGCACCTTAATCACCCCTTGCTTGCCAATGCCTGGCTCCCCTCCCCAACATCTGTCAAGAGGAGCCTGGCCAAGGAAAGGGGGCAGGAGGCAGGGGGCTTCCAGTAACCTGTTTTTGCCCCGGGGGAGGCCTTAGTCCTGAGACCTTTCCAGGACCTCGGGTTCTGCCACTGGCTTAGGCCTCCAGCGCTTTGGGCAAAGGTCATGTTCCCACCTAAGGGGACAGATGGGGCTGCTTTCCTCACCAGTCCCAGCAGGTCCTTGCAAACCACTCAGGCTACAGGAAGCAGTGGATATCTGCTGCCCACATATAGCCAAACTGGGCCGGCCAGCGATGATCCCGGACACTACTGGAAACAAAAAAAATAAAATCAGGTTTCAAGCAGGGATTGCTTAATCTGGCCCCTTATATTTTACTGAGAAAGAAACTGAGGTGCAGAAAAGGAAAAGTCTTGCCTGACATCAAATACCTAAGAAGCATCAGAGCTGAAATACCAACTCAGTTCTCCTAATGGCAAACCCAGCAGGCATTTCCCCAAACCACGCCCTCTCCAAGTCCCATTTCCATCACTCTTTAAAGTACCTTCTTCACAATATTATCAAATACTAAACCTTGAGCATTTATTAAACACTTACTATCTACCAAGAAAAGGCAAAAAACAAGGACCCTGTCCTCAGAAGCTTGCACTCTAATGGGGAAAATGATTTATCCAGACACATATAGGTTTAATCAGGACAAAATGAATAGAAGGAGACTTTGGGAGGGAAGGCATTAACAGCTGGGAAGGGCTGGGGAGGAGGGATCACAAGGGGCTCCAATGTAGAAGGTGAAACAAACTCCATCTGTAGGAAGAGGGGCATTCCATGAGGTAGAGGTGAAGAGGGAGTGCATTCCAAGCATGAGGGACAGCCTGGGCAAAAGTAGGAAGATGGGATATGAAGTATTGGGGTGGGGGTCGGGAACAGGGATGATACATCTGGAAACAATACATCTGGATGGTGGAATGCAGGAAAGAGAGTGATGTGTAAGGAAACTGGAAAGGTAGGAAGAGCCAGGTCATGAGGAGCTTTTAAATTCCTAACAGATGTGAACAGAGCCGCACAAAAGGGGCAGGTAGGGGGAGGGCTGGGTTAAGCCACTAAGAGGATGACCATAGGAAGCTGCTGGAGGGGCAGCGATTGTTTCCCTGCTGTCTCTGTTACCTCCCACTACCTAGCAAGGTGCCTTGTACAGAGGAGGTACATAAACTATGCTGGCTGATGGATTGATCAATCCATTGATTTATTTCTGACTCTAGATCCCATCCACTAGGTGGCGCCCCATGAGATTACAACTGCATCTTGGTTTTGGAGTCATCATATTAACAATAATACATGCGTGTAAGGATCTAAGACAACTCCAAAAGGCTCATCCAGAGAAAGAACTATGAAGTCTGAGGGTAGATGGAAGCAGACTATTTGCTCTCCTTTTCTTTTGTTGTTTTGTTTTGTTTCTTATTCCTCGTGGTTCCTCTCATCAGTTCTAATTGTTCTTTACATCATGACTAATGTGAAAATATGCTTAATATGATTGTACATGTAAAGCCCATATCATATTGCACACAGTCTTGGGGAGAAGGAAGGGGGAAGAGGAGGGGGAGGGGGAGAAAATTTAAAACTCAAAATCTTATGGAAGTGAATGTTAAAAACTAAAAATAAATAAATTGTTTAAAAATAATAATACATGCAATAATAATATTAATAAATCTCACTTCTCTGGGGCTTTCAGGTTTGTGAAATGCTTGCCCTGGGGGAAAAAAAACAACAAACTCTGTGAGGTAGGGAATGCATGGCCCATTATCCCCACTTTACAGATGGAGAAACAGAGGTTCAGATGAGGGTTAGTAGCAGAGCCATACTGAGAGAGAGAGAGAGAGAGAGAGAGAGAGAGAGAGAGAGAGAGAGAGAGAGAGAGAGAGAGATTTGTCCTGACTCCCGAAAGACACACTGTGCCTCTTGGGCTCCTGGGGAGCATTCAATCTTAGTTAAAAATAAATAAGTTCAATTATTGGAAAGAGGCAGGCGTGGGAGAGTATTTACTACAAGCAGATCGAAGGGAGCCACTTGGGGGGAAGTGGAGTCTGAGAATGGAAAGCAGGTTCTGGTGGCAGCCACACTTCCTCGGGCCCTGGGGACATCGCTATCTCCTCCTGAGTAACCAGTCCTAGCAATTCCTGGGAAACCCCAGAAGCTTTGAGTGGCTGTGGATTCCAACAGCCAGCTAGCCTGAGCCATGCTGCAATGGAATCCCCCACTGGGGACTGACCTTGACATTAATCCTGCCACCTGCCACCTCTGGCTCAGACACCTCAGCTGCCCGAGGCCCTAGCACGCCTGTCTCAGATGAAGATGATTTTGAAAAATCAAGTTTGCTGGGGTGGAGAGGGAAACATGGCTTCCAATGAATTTCCCACTGATAACACAATTAACGCCAAACATAAATTGTAGGCAATCTATTAAAAAAAAATTCTATTTTAAAAACGTGCATCAGATGCAAGTTCAATTTTGCCCCATGGGCCATAAAGCCCGTTTTCCAATCATCAGGTGCCGGTTTCCTCACATTCTTGATTAATCTCAGGGACTTTATGTGGAGTCATTACATCTGGGCGCAGAAATAATCAGGGCAGATCCAATCAGCTCCACTCCAACCATCTCCAAGAAACAAACAGATATAAACAGGTTAGGCCAGCTCAGGACAGTGCCAAGGATCCGGCTGGGGGTGGCGGGGACTCGGGCACATGCTGCCTCCTTTCTGAGCCTCCATTTCTGCATCTGTGAAATGAGGGTCGCCTCTCAGAGGTCTGTCTCTCCGTACTGGCATTCTCCGTTCTAGGACTCCTTCCAGAAAAGACCCTCTATGAACCTAGAAGCCAGAAAGGGGGAAGAGCACAGTTCGCCAAGGCCCTTGACTCTCATGCCCTCCTGCATACATGTTCTGCTGTATCAGTCCTTCCTGAAATAGGGCATCAGGAACTTGCCACATTACTGCAGACAGACCAAGCATCTTGGTCCAAGCTCTACCTGGACAAGAATGTATTTGTCACACCATAACTGACGAGTGGTCATTGGGGAGGGGAACCTACCTCCCCGCCCCACCCCGAGGCAGCCCCTTCTATCTGCGGACAGGTCTCCTCGTGGGGAAGCACTTCCCAACATCTAGGACCAATGGGCCTCTTTGTGCCTTCCCGCCAGGGCTCTGGGCTCTGCCCTAGGGGCCAAGCATCCTTCTTCTATGTGGCTAAGTGTTAGAAAACAGCAATCGTGCTTTTATCTAAGTTTTAGCTTCTCCAAGAGAACATGTACCTTCGACTGATTCTTTCAGAAAGCTAGATGGCGCTGCAACAGAGAGAGTCCTCGAGTCAGGAAGACCTGAGTTCAAATCCAGCCTCAGAACGTACTAGCTCTAGGACCCCTGCATAAGTCACTTACCCTCTATCTGCCTCAGATTCCCCGTTTGTAAAATCTCCTGATCTCCTGTCTCCCAGGAGATCAAAGGAGATCCTTGTTAAGTATTTTGCAAACCTGAAAGCTCTATATAGATGCCAACACACACACACACACACACACACACACACAGTGTCCCAAAAGTCTTAGTGTCATTTTAAACTATTAAAGCTTCACAGCTACACTAAGATTTTTGGGACAGCCTATAGAGTGAGTGATATTTATGGGTGTCTCATTCCCCTATTAGACTCAGAGCCCGATAAGGGAAGGGATCCTATTACTCACCCTCCCCAGGACCCTCCACAGGGCTCTCATACAGTAGGTGTTGAATTGACCAAAGGGATCAAGGCCAAAGGTGCCGCCATCTGCCAACCTGAAGCCCCCAGGAAGCATTTCTTTCCCACACAGATGGGGCTTGGGGTGTCCGCAGCATCTCCTGATCCCTCCTGCTGCCACTTTGCTCCCAATCCTCCAGCAACTGGTCTTTAAAAACCATTCTCATGATTACCTAGGGATAACAATGAAAATACCATAATTGAATCTCTTGGAAAAAATTACCATTTTTATAACTTGTGCCCAGTCCCAAAGAGATAAATCAAATTTCTCCCTTATATTGCTTGACTCCGCTCAAAATGTGTCAGGATGGGATTAATATTGTCCTTGATCATTGATTCAAGGCCTTTTATGAAGAAGAATTTCTCAGTTCTTCCTTTTCAGGGATCCCTGGCTGCCAGCGCAATGAGGGAGAATGGTGGGGTCTTGGGGCCAGCTGTCAGGCTGGAGCCAGCCAGACTCTGCCTCCTCAGATTCCGTGGCTAGTTCGGATCTGTGTCTTCCAATGGGCGAAGAAGCTTCCTGAAACAAGAAAAGTTCACTGGATGCCAGGCCTCCAGAGAAGAGGCAGCATTCTATGAGGGAAAGGATGCAGAAGGAGGGTCTAGGTTTGAATCCTGAACCTGCTACTGACTACCCCTCTCAGAGTCTGTTTCCTCCTCTGCGAAATATGAATGATAATCCTCCGACTGCCCGCCTGCAGGAATGTGGTGAGGAACAGTCTCTGCCAGTGCCACGTGCTGCCTCCTACCCCAGCTACTGAGGGCTGATCACCCCACCTGGAACCACTTCGTACTTTGCTGTTGTTTTACAGTCCTGTCTGACTCTCTGTGACCCCACTAGGGGTCTTCTTGGCAGAGGTACTGGAGCGGTTTGCCACTTCCTTCTCCAGCTCATTTTGTGATGAGCAAACTGAGGCAAACAGGATTAAGTGACTCCACCAAGGTCACCCAGCTAGTAAGTGTCTGAAGCTGAATTTGAACTCATGTCTTCCTGACTCCAGACCCAGTGCACTGTGCCATCTAGCTGCTCCACTTTGTACTGACTCTGTCTATGTTTTATTCTAACTTAAGCAGGTACAGGCTCCTTCCCCCCCCAAGAGAATGAAGGGACCCTATTCTCATCTTGTCTTTTTTCCCCAAGGCCTGGCACATAGTAAGTACTTGGTAAGCCCTTAGAATGAAGTAGAAATTGCTAACATTGGTGAAAAGCAAAAGAGATAGGGGTCAGCCCCTGTATCACTTCATTTACCCCAGAGCTTTTTCTGGGGATCCCAGAGCTTCACCACAGGCTGAAGGGAGGCCTTGATATTACCCGAGGTGAGGGGCAGGGATGGAAGGTGGGAAGTCTGGCTAAGGTCACTCACAGGATGTGATGGAGAGGCAGGGACTAAATGACCATAGGCCTGTAACAGCGGCCATTCCAGAGCATTGGTGGGGAAAGGCCTCTTTCATGCTGGCCCTGGTAAAGAACACGTACAACCAGGGGCTTCTGGGTCAGAATTGGGGAACCTGAGGCCTTGAGGTTACATGTGGCCCTCCAGGTCCTCAAGTGAGGCCATTTGACTGAATCCAAACTTCACAGAACAAATCCCCTTCATAAAAGGATGTGTTCTGTGAAGTTTGGACTCAGTCAAGGGGCTTCACTTGTGGCCTCAAGGCTGCAGGTTCCCACCCCTGTTCTGGGTGATCTCCATGTACACCATTGCCTTGCCCTGAGTCTGGAGGCTGCACTACAAGGGAATGGTCCCAGAGCTGCCCACCAACAGGAGTGACTCCATCCTTAGAGAAAACACTCTCCTTCATTCTCTTTTCTTATCTGATGGGGGTGGGGGGCCCTTTGATCCTTTCCCTTGGACTTCAGGTGTGAGCAGAGAGTGAGAGGGGAGAGAATCCTCCCTACCCCCAACAGCAGCTACGATAGCTCCTCACCCAACATGGCAGAGAGCGCGTACTGTCTAGGAAAGCCTGACCCCAGATTCCCAAGGCCTCGGCAGCCTCTCCTACTTTGGGTTCATTCCCTGAGCATAGGTGGCCAAACAGCCACCAGCAGAAATGGACTTTTCAAGATGGTGGTAGCCTTCCAAGTTCAGGAGTTCTTGAGTTCCTCAGTCAGGGCAGAAGATGATTACCAACAGAAGGAGCTGTGCGGGCCAAGATGGCCAGAATAGAAAGGCTGGGGAAATGTAAGCTTCCTTGAAAGGTGTACAGCCAAAGTGTAGGTGAAATACTTGTTCACACTTTGTTATTTACATGATGTTTGAACATTTATCAGTGTGTGGTTAGGAGTCTTTTGAATTTCAAGCATTCCATTTGGGGACTGGGGGGGTGGTGATAAATAGCTGTCGTCTACCTGATCTCCTTTGAACACTGAGTGCCTCTTGGATTAGTCATGAACGTTCATCAAGCAGCTCCGATGTGCCAGACACTGTCCTGGGGATATAAAAAGAGGCAAAGGATAACCCCTGCCCTCAAAGAGCTCCCCACCTAAATGGAGGAGACAATAAACATGTACAAACAAGCTGTATGTGAGATAACCAGGAAATAATGAACAGAGGGAAGGCACCAGAATTCAGAGGGGCTGGGAAAAGCTTCCCAGAGAAGACAAGATTTTAGCTGGGACTTAACGGGAAGCAAGAGGTCAGTAGATGAAGCCGGGGAGAGAGAGCGGTCCAGGCACAGGGGACAGCCAGAGAGAATGCCTAGAGTCCAGAGATGGAGCATATGGTTGGAGGACAGTCTCCTTCCCTGAGAAAGCAAAGGGACAGAGATGAACTTGCCAGCCATAGCTACCCCCGGAAGCCATTGACTGAGCCAGAGGGGCTAGGGAATCAGAGTTTAGGGAAGGATAGGAAGATGAGAGTCATAGAGCTAGAAAGAACCCTCAAGGTCATCTAGTCCAACCATCTCATTTGACAGATGGAGAAACTGAGGCCCAGAGAGATTAAGCAAGTCACTCAAAGTCATACGTATTATGAGTAGCAAAGTCAGGATTTGAACTCAGGAAATAACACAGCCTCCACAAGACACGTAAATAAAAAATATCTGTATCTTGTACATTTGGGTTAGACTCAAAGAGTGGGAAAGTGATGGAAGGGAGGGAGGGAGGAAGAAAGGAAGGGAGGGAGGGAGGGAGAGAAGGAGGGAAGGAAGGAAGGAAGGAAGGGAGGAAGGAAGGAAGGAAGGAAGGAAGGAAGGAAGGAAGGAAGAGGAAGGAAGGAAGGAAGGAAGGAAGGAAGGAAGGAGAGGAAGGAGGGAGGAGAAGGAAGGAAAGAGGAGGGAGGAAGGAAGGAAGGAAGGGAGGAAAGAGGGAGGAAGGGAGGGAAGGAGGAAAGAAGAACTTTCTTTCTAAGCTTGTACTATGTGCCAGGCACTGTGCACAGCACTTTACAATTATCTCATTTGATCCTCACAATAACTGTGAGATGTAGGTGCTATTTTGATCCCCATATCTGAGGCAGACAGAGGTAAAGTGACTTACACAGGGTCACACATCTAGGCTAGATTCAAACCTAGGTCCCTTGACTCCATATCTGCCCACATTGCCTCTGGAAACCAATGCCCTCCTCCATGCTCTGAGGAGGCGTTAGAGAAGGGTGTCAGTGAAGGACAGTCACCTTAAACAATTCTATTTTTTATTTTTTATAAAGAACTCAACATATAAATCTAAACATATATGACAGTGGTAAATGTCACCCATGAAAGCCTTACTACAAATCCATTGTTCCTTATGGTGTGTGACCTTACTCTACTATGGACAAACATATGCCCTCATACACACACACACACACACACACACACACACACACACACACACACACACACACACACATGCCCCCACGCTCACATTCACATTCACACAAATACACTCAACCAGGGCTCCATAGGGACTTTAAAGGATTGTAGATTTAGAGATGAAAGGAGACCTCCGAACTCATGGAATCCTTATCAAATCCCTATCTCACAGACGGAGAAACTGAGGCCCAGAGAGGTTAACCGATCTGCCCAAAGTTACACAGGTAGCAGAGCTAAGATCTGAACCTGGGTCCTCTCTGCAAACCCAGCTCTCTGAACACTGCGTGATAGCACAGTTAGGGAGATTTGGAACCACTTGGCCAGATAGACCCAAAGACTGTCTATTGATGGGCCGATGGCCAGCATGCAAGGAATTCTCTAAAAGAGGGCCCCAGGGATCTGTCCTTGGCCTTGGATGATTCAACATTTGTATCTGTGATTTGAATAAAACTCTCCAGAGAGCAGAAGATGGGATGGGATGGGAAGGTGGGGAGGGGGCAGGAACAGGAGCCTCCCCCCAAAGCTGTCCTTCACAGAGACTCCTCAGAACCTCCTAGGCAACTCCCTACGTTCCATCATCAACATCTTCCCACCTTTTCACCATCTCTCGTGTATTTCTTGTCTTTCCCGTTAGATTATAAGCTCCCTGCAGGCAGGGACTTTCTTATTTGAATCCAAATCCCCAGTTCTTAGTACAGTGCCTGGCACCTCACAGGCCCTTAATGAAGACCTGAGTTCAAATCCAGCCTTAGACACTAACAGTGTAACCCCTAGGCAAATCACCTCAGTTGCCTTATCTGTAAAATGGGAATGATAATAGCACCTACCTCCCAGGGTTGTTGCGAGGATCAAATGCGATAATATTTGTAAAGTGCTTAGCACGGTGCCTGGCACATAGTAGGGCCATATAAATATTGGCTATTCTTCTTGGTATTTTTTTAAATCAACCCCACGAAAACAAATTTAAGATCTGGTCACATCTGCCCAAGGGCTCTGTCTCGCAATAACCCACCCACACACCCACAATGTCGGGGTCAGGATCCAGCTTCATTCAGCCTAGGAGAGGGTCTGGTAGAGTTTCTCGCCGTCTAGGAAATGATCCTGGCTGAGGGCTCCCAGCCTTGAGAGAGCCTGGATGCCTTCACTGGTGTGACATTTACACTAGTGTGTCATGTACATTTAGATTTATGTGTCAGGTTCTTTTCTTTAAAAATAAAGGAAAGACCTGTTTGCAATTGCCATCCTCCACAGACATCAGAGCCTGGAGATGGGCATGGGCTTCTGAAGGCGATGCTAGGGGAGCACATGCCCTCGTGGATCCCTGGCTGGCACTTAGTAGGGGCCATATTCGCTACTCTTCTTAGTATTTTTTAAATCAACCCCACAAAAACAAATTTAAGAATGGGAGTGGGACGGGCCCTGAATGTAGAGTCAGTGGGCCCAGGTCAGAGCGAACCAGATGCCCCTTACTGTCATATACATAGTATACATACGTTTATACATAACGCATTTCTATCTGCTCATATATGCATTTGTGTGTGTCTTTGTGTGTGCATATATACACACATATACGAATAAGGGAAGGGAGTGAGCATTTGCGGGGCACCTACTATGTGCGGGTGCTGTAATAAGCACTCTACAAACATTACTTTATTTGATCATCACAGTACTTTGAGGTAGGTGCTAAAATTATCCCCCTTTTACAGTTGAGGAAACAAGAATTTGTATCCCCAGTGCTTAGCTTGGTGTCAGACACATAGTAGGTCCTTAAAAATGTTCTTGATTGGTTGAAGTAGAGGTTAAATAATTTGCCCAGGGTCATACAGCTTATCTGAAGCTGGATTTGAACTCAGGCTTTCCTGACTCCAGCCCTAGTGTTCTGTCTTCTGTATGTATGTATGTATGTAAAATACATGTATGTGTATATATGTTGGTGTTCAATTGTTTTTCAGTCATGTCTGACTCTTCATGACCCCATTTGGGGTTTCCTTGTCTAGCACATTTTACAGATGAGGAAACTGAGGCAAACAGGGTTAAATGATTTACTCAGGGTCACACAGCTAATAAGTATCTGGGGCTGGATTTGAACTCAGGGCTTCCTAACTCCAGGCTCAGCACTCCATCCACTGTGCCACCTAGCTGCCCATGTATAGATGTGTGCATGTGTTATTGTATGTGATGTGTGTATGCACGCATATACATTATATACATGTGTGTTGTGTGTATATGTATGCATAGATACACATACATACCTGAGTTATATACACATAATCTGTGTGTGTGTCTTTAAGTAATCAGTTCTTCTGTCTGGGCCTTAGTTGCCTCACCTGTAAAATAAAGGAGTCAGACTCAAGAGGCTGCACGGTGTAGGGGACACAGCCTAAGACAGTAGAGTTTGAGCCCTGCCTCCTACCCTTCCTGACTATGTGACCTTAGCTATGTCACTTAATGTCCCTAAGCCTCAGTTTCCCCCCACTTTAAAAAGAGGTGGTCACACTGGGTGTCTTCCAAGGTCCCTCATGGCTTTAGATCTAGGGTCCTGTGACCCTGGCCAAGTCCCTTCCCTATTTGGGGCAGTTTCATGATCTCCGCGGCCTCTGAGGATCCCATGACTTTCAGTTCATGACGAAAGACTTTCAGTCTTGTGTCACTTGTTCACCTGCCTTCCAAGGCCTGCCCAGCTGTTGGGACAGTCAGCTGTCAGGGCCAGGGACGAATTTTCAGCCATAGCTTCTCCTGGAGGCCATTGACTGGGGCACAGGGGCTGGGGAACCAGGCTGGCCCATCCTCACAAGCCTCTCTAACTTGGTGGACCTTCCCAAACTTGGATTCCACTGATGGAGCCTTTGAATGCCTGGTCACTGGAGGATATTGGCCCAGGTCTCCTTAAATGTCCTGGCACCAGACTGTGGCGCTGCCCCCCCCCAGGCTTCAGCAGCAGCAGAGAAGAGCCCTGGGCTCCTAGAAGAGCTTTTCTGAGCCCCTGGGCAGCGGCTGTGAGCCCTGGGGCATCCTTTGGATGGGGCTGAGTGTTACTGACTCCCTCCCATCCACTGACAGATCCCTCCATCCCTCTGGGTGGTCATGCTCCAGACTGAGATGATGCCAGAGTCAGCTACCTCTTACCTGGGGAACCTGGGAGCTGTCTGGCTGCCACGCCCACCCCACTCTCCCCACCTTCTATTCATTTGTCAGGGTTGGGGTCAAGACTTAGGACCTTTCCTCCCCCAATGAAGAGCACCAACTTATTTCTCTTTAATTCACAGCAAGTTGTCTGGAGCATTGAGCGGTAGAGTGACTTGATCAGGGTCACACTGCACTTCAGTGTCAGGGGCAGGTTTTGAACCTAGGTCCTCCTGGCTTGGAAGCCAGCTGTCTGGCTGCCACATCTTACTAGGCAGATACACAACATGCCCTGTTCACATGTTGTCTCCTCAGTCGAAGGGGATCTCCCTGAGGGCAGGCATACTTCCGTTTTTGTCTTGGGACCCCGGACACCCAACACAGTGCCTGGAGCACAGCAGGCACTCAGTATGTGCTTGTTAATTGACTGATGGGTGGGCCCAGAGGATGAAGCCATCCTTCCCAGAAAGAGCGTTTATCATGTTGCCTGCGGGAAAATGATACAATGAGGCTGAACTCCAGACTCCAGCTCTATCATCCAGGCTCCAGCTTTCAGTCTTGGGCTTCTGGGCTCCAGGTTATGGAATTTGGGAATCCATGTTCCAAATGATTTACTCCATGGTCCAGGCTTACAGACATTGCCCTGTGAGCTCTGGGGTCCCAGCTGTGGGATCTGTGCCCTGGCCTCTGGCCCTGCCTTGCATTCTCTGACAGATACACTTGTCTCTCTGTATGAATCACTTACCCTGGGAAATGAAAGGATCAATAAACAGCCTCTAATAGAAAACTGACTGCACCATTTACAAGCCCCTACCCCCTCCCTCAGTGGGCCCAAGGCTCCTCAGCCACAGTCCTTGTCTGTGGGCCCCACCCCCTGCTCCTTAGAGTGAGGGAAGAGAAAGATATAGCCACACACACACACACATACAGAGCCAGGCATGCTGACATGCTCCATCCCAGCCCTGTGAGCTCCCCTCCCACCAGACATCACCTCTAAGAGCATGTGAGGGCCTGAGGGAAGGCCTTGGGGGAAAAGAGCCCTGGAAATGCAGCAGCTCCTCAGAGGGGCTGGAGGGAGGGAGGGGCAGGATCACTGCACCTGAAGTCTGAAATCTTGGGCTCAGATCTCACCTCAGTCACCTGTGGGACTACGTCAAGTCACCTAGCCTCAGTTTCCTCATTTGTAAAATGAGGTGGGGAAGGACTTTGAAACAGGTGACATCAAAGGCACTCTCACTAACTGAATGACCCCATCCTTTCCCTAGCTATCTCAAGCCATCCATGTTGGAGCCAAATTCCTCCTCCTCGAGCATTCTAGGCCTCGCCCTTGACTATTCCTAGAGAAAGATTTAGGGTCTAGAGTCATAAACTATAGAAGGGTAGGCCCAGAAAATGACAGGAAGAAATTTAGAATGTAGAACATAGAATATACAATGTCAGAGTGGGAAGGAGCCTGAGAACAGGGAATGTCAGGGCTGGGAAGAGCCTTAGAACAGGGGATATCAGGGCAGGGGGGTGCCTTAGAACAGGGGATATCAGGGCTGGGGGGGCCTTAGAACAGGGATGTCAGAGTTGGGAGGGGCCTGAGAACAAGGAATGTCAGGGCTGGGAGGGGCCTCAGAACAAGGGATGTCAGAGCTGGGAGGGACCTTAGAACAGGGAATGTCAGAGTGGGGAGGGCCTGAGAACAGGCAATGTCAGAGTGGGGAGAGGCCTGAGAACAGGGAATGTCAGAGTGGGGAGGGGCCTCAGAACAGGGAATGTCAGAGTGGGGAGGGGCCTTAGATCAGGGGATGTCAGAGCTAGGAAGGACCTTAGAATAGGAAATGTCAGAGCTGGGAGGGACCTGAGAACAGGGAATGTCAGGGCTGGGAAACACCCATTGAAAAGGGTTTGCCCTGGGCATGCCCAGATAGCCTAACATGGAGGTCCGTGCTTCCCTGGATTCCACATGGGTCAGTGCAGCCTTCTTTGAGTGTTTAAAACTGACCGGACCAAGACAGTCTGTCTCCTTTCTGCTCTGTCAGGAGGTTGAAGATCTCAGTTCACTCACAACATAGCCACCATGAACTGAATGGGTTGGGGGGCCTGCTCCCTCTTTTATCCTGGCTCTGAGACATTTATCTCATTTGTCCTTGTTTGTACCTGTCCTGTCTCATTTGTCCTCCTCAGTTTTAGGTGACAAAGGCAATCCCCACCAGACCCAGAGTGGAGCCGTGGTGTCCTAGGAGCCAGGAACCCAGCGGGGAAGCCCAGAGAATACAGGTGCCTGGGATTCAAGTCTGGGGGAGGGGGGTTGGCCTTGGAACTCAGTCTGTACTCTACAGAAACTATGCTAAGCTGTTTATATATTCGTTTCATCCCCTTGAAATAATTTCTTTGTAAAAATCTAACCAACTATTAGTAGTTATATGGAACTGGAGTGCAAGGAACCCCACAGGCTTGGGGAGATGCCATCGGTGGGTGGAGGCTAGAGACAATGGCAGAGAGCCTGGAAACCCCCAGACCCTCCTGAAGGTCTGGGAGAACACTGGGGGAGGGGTAAAATGTAACACACTTGGCCATCAGCCAGTGGGGGCCAGGATGGCCAGTGCTACATCATTCAATCTAACTCTCCCATTTTGTAGAACAGAAAAGAGAGAAAACCAGAGCAGGAGAGTACTTTCACAGATCACATGGTGAGTCAGTCATTAGGGCGATCAGAAGTCCAAGGGGAGGCTCCTATACCACCCAAGCTTCCCTCCAAAGGAGGAGACAGTCCTAAGATGAGGAGCTCTCTGTGACGGTGATGAAGGCCAGGATGGAGGGTGGGCCCTGAAAGCTGCTAGCATTCCAAATTCTCAGCCCCAGAGCTGGATGTCTGCCCTGGGGCAGAGGAAGCTCTAGCTGGCCACAGAAGCCAGTGTCTGGGTCCTGTCTGCCTTCCTTGGGGCTTGAAGGAAGCCGGGACCCACAGAGGGTAGGATGCCGCAATCACTAGGCTTAAGTGGAGAGCTCTTACAGGTTTCAGAGCACTTTCCTCCACACAATGCCCAGTGAGGAAGGATTAGTGTCTCCATTTTAGTGATAAGGAAACTGGAAGTTCACGGTATAAGTGTGTATTATACATGCATGTGTGTATAGATACACATACATATATGCATTATATATACTTGCTCAGTCAAAGCCTCAACTGGACATCTCCACCCTTCTTGAGGACCTAGGACTGCCTTTGACCTTTCTTTGTATCCTCACAGCTTAGCCCAGAGCCTGGCACATAGTAGGTACTTCATAAATGCTCAACCTTAGATCTGTGACCTTCTCATTTCAAATCCAGATCCTGAAAAATCAGCAGCTGAATGACCTTGGGAAAGTCATTTCATCTCTTGGAGTCCAGATTTATTCATGCATAAAACCAGGAGGTTGAATGAATGAGGTTCAAAGTGCAATGATTTCGTTTCAAGGTTACCACAGGCTTCAGGCCAAGCTTAGGACTGTTGCTCCTTTCTCCAGACTTTCTGCCCACTTTCTCACCCCCAGAGGAAGAGGACCTGGGGCAGAGGAAACCAGTGGGGAAAACCCCAAACCAGTGGGGAAAAGAAGAGCCCTCCCTGCTTGGAGCCCTGCAGCCCTCCAGCAATGTCTACTTAGCCAAATTCCCAAAGAGTCAGAAACTATTCATGCTCTTGACCCCCAGATGTCTAGAAGTATCCAAGCCACGCCCAGGTCTCAAAGTCACAATGCCTCAGAGTTGGGCCAAGCCTTAGAGGACACGTATGACAGCCAGTTACTGACCCACGCACCCTGCCCAAGTCAGCTTGCAGTGTCTCTAAGATCTCCCTCCACGGGCATTTGCCCCTGTTTCCCACCCACATGCCCCCCACTCTAATCCAAACCCGCCTAGTCTCTTGCCTAAAAGAGCTTCTACTTTTTTTAATTAATTTTTTCAATTAACAGGCATTTATTTTCTGTCTCCTACCTCCGGAAAAGAAGAAAAGGAAAACTCTTGGGACAAATAAGCATAAAAAAGAAAAACAGATTCCATCCTGACCAATTGTTTGTTCCGAGAGTTTTGCTTGGCTGTTTTTTTCACTTTGGAGAGGGGAAGGAGGGAGAAAGAATGTTTGTTTGAGAGCCTCCTCTTCACTGGTCTTCCTGACCTGGATATGTTTTGTGGGTGCTGTTTTTTAATAAAGGTGTTTACTGATTGGGGAATCTGTTCCTC